TAAAATCTTTAAAAAAAGTAAAATTAAATTGAAGAACTAGTCTCATGGTAAAGCAGTAAAGATGCTGACACTTGGGATGATTTATGTATATAGCAAAGACATTCTTTTAAGTGTAGTTAGACGTGGCACTTACCAGATTCTCCAACATCTCAGTTGGGATTCTGTTTGAAATCCTATTATATCTTTGCTAATATTTTATGAAATAATATTTTGTGATTACAACAAAATTTTTGAAAATGTGGGAAGATCTATAATCCTGTCCATTCAGAAAGAAGCATTCTCTGTTTCATGTAGTGTCCTAGCCCTTTTTCTATGCTTTTCAAAATGAAACTGAGATCATACAAATAATTTTGTGGAAGAATAGGCAATGAAAGAAAAGGATTCCAGAGCGTCCACATGTTCAAGAAGGTAATGATTATGGTTCTTTGTGGAGGCCCCCATCAGCCGCTGGCTCACCTTTACTGATTTGATTCCGCCTTGCCCTGTCTTGTAACCAGGAGGTCATTGGGCACCAGATGCTGGCCAGTTAGGGACTCAAGATGATGACCGGGGTGCTCCGCCTGAGGGCAACTTCTCCCAAGAGTTCTCCTTTCCCCTCACGTTCTGGTAGGGATGAAAGCATTTGGGATCTGCTTCATGGAAACAAAAGGGTTTTGGGGGTTTTTGTTTGTTTCATTTTGATTTTAAGATAAATGTATACTTAATTGTTATAGACCCTCAGAAACCACCAGTTGGAATTCCCAGCAGCTTTGGGAAGCTGTCAAGTTTAAGATAGGCTAGAACTCATCTCATTTTAGCCTCCCTTTTGTAGTTGAACCAGAGGAGTCAGAGCCTGGGCTGCTTCTACATGTGTTATAGCATTTGTCAATATTAAATTTAATTTGTGCTAAGAGCAGCTTGCTACCAGTGAGAACACAAAGCTTGCTGAATTTCACTTTGTGTGTTCAGTACAGCCAACATTAACAAACCTAGTGAATTCAGGTACATTATCCTATCCAAATCTAGGTCAGTTCTGTTGATTAAAAACATTATAGGTTTGAGGACTGACCCTGTAAAAACCCACTTAAAATTTAACTACTTCATCCCCTATTCTGTCTCCTGCACTTCTCAAATGGAAGAATACCTACCGGTTACCAATCCAGTGGGCCACCATCAAGAGGTCATCATCAACAACAGACATTTACTGAGCACCTATTGTGTGCAAGGCACTGAACTAGGCTCGGGGCTACAAAGACAAAGGAGAAACAGTCCCTGCTTACAGCTTACGGTCTAATTAGGCTAATAGGACAAATACATAAAGAGACAAGAACAATGCAAGGTAGAATAGAATATTAGGGCACTGAGTAAAAACAAACAGGATCGCAGCCTTTTTTTGCTTTTCTATGGTGGCTCAATGCCCTGAGTAGGTGGGGATGAGTGAGCTGGAATAGAGGGCTTGTTCCTATTCATTTTCAAGCCTACAGACACTCTCTCACCTCTCTTCACTCCAAAGGATCTTCTGGCATGTGCTAGAACCTGGGCAGTGGATTCACTTTTCCCCCCAGTGCCTTAGCGTTATAGTTCTCTTTGAGGTGGCTTTTCAGTAGGGTGACCCACTGTCCCAGTTTGCCCGGGACTTGTCCTAGTTTTAGCACTGACAGTCTGTCTTGAAGTTCCCCCCACCCCTTCCCCCAGCCTGGGGTGAACCAGGATGGCACTTCTGAAGAACCTAGTCCTAGAGCCAAATGTAGTCCCCCCACCTACTATGCTCATTGCCTGGCAGGGTCCACCCCAAACCTGTTCCCCAGGTAGGTCTCTAGTTTAAAAACCTACAAGGAGGACCTTAACAGCCTCCAAAGACCGCTGGTTGAAGAGCCCAGTGTAGACAAAAGAAGGCAATCAGGAGAAAATGATGGCAGAAGGATGGGATTGAGGTTCCAGAGAGAAGCAGTGAAGATGGAAGGAAGAATTGGCTCAGGTACGAAATAAGTAGGAGTGTTACCCTCACGTCCTAACACTGCAGAGAGAAGAGGAATCTCAGAGTAAGTCTGAATTAACAGTCTGAATCACCACCCCAGTGGAATTCAGGGTATATTTCCGAAATGAGGTCACTCCTACATAAGGGCAATTATTTGGGTGGGTATTAAACAGGTATGGATATATGTTCACATAAGTCTATGAATTCTGACAAAATTCCAGTTTGTTCCTTTCACTTTTACTTAGCATTCATTTAGCTTCCAAATCAATAATTCTAACTTTTGAGGTGAGTTTTTACTTCAAAATGAGGTTATATCCTTCGATTTTAATGTAATTAAAATGGATCGGTAATGGAGAATATTTCAGGAAACAAAGGCAATCTGTCCTGAGAGGTGTTGTTTGGAATCTGATGCACATACCTGATAGTAATGTCAGGATTCCGAGAGACCACACACAAATTTCTCTTTCAGGTACAGTATTTTGTGTTTTGCTTTCATTTATTTTTTCGAAGAAAAGCTCTCACTCTGAAATCTTAGGACCTTGGGAGTTCCTGAATCACTCTGGTTTTATGTCTAGCCCTTAGGAGCACATCCCAGGGTTAGTGAAGCACAGGGACTTAGTTACCAGACACCCATTAACCATAATGGGAATCACACAGCAAAGTCCCCACGCAGCACACTGAGTATTTACCTCCTAATGTTCTTTTAATGTACGCTTTCTTGGGTGAATATTTACTGTAGAATATTAAATGTAAGATTCCTCTTTTTATGGGCCGTTTGAAGTGATTGATTTTGTTTGTGAATTCCTGTATCTTTGCCCATAATGGCTATCTATTATAATGGCTTCTGCCAAATGTTCTTGCGTTGAAATAACACAGGCCATGGATTGACCAGCTGTGGCTTTGTATTACTGGGGTCTTAAAAGCTAGGAGGTAGCTGATGACACAGCTGGGAAAGAAGAAAAAGGTGTCTAACATAACGAGTATGACTAAGTCTCCCAATACAATTGGATATTGAAATCACTGAGGTCTGTAAACATGGTTCTATCACCATCTTTTATATCAGATATATATCTTTTATAACACCATGTTTAATGGTGTTGGATGGTGTTGAGATGGAGAGTCAGGAAATGATAGTGGCAAGATAAGAATTCAGTTGCCCACAGCCAGCTCCGTCGGCACAATCTATTCAGAATTCTAGGCATTTTCTTGAAATGCTATAATAAAAACCACCACCCAAGTGGTTGGTCTCATACCTATTTATACCATATTTTTAAAAATATAAATTCCTATACTCCCATATGTTAGCTACATTTAGATTTAAGCTATTTCTCAGTGAAGCTAAGGATTTCAGAATTTGGTTGCTTTACACTCTTGAGTATTTGGGAAGGAGGAAGAAGTTACAAAAAAGATGGAGTTATCATATGGTCTTTTTAAAAAAACAAAACAAAACAAAAACCAAATCCTAAAACCTAAAGACAACATAGACATTTGAGATATTATTAAATTAAGTAATACAGCTACATTTTTGCATGTCCCAATTACACTTTTCCAAATTTCCATAAAAATAAAACTTGTTAAAGGAGCTACTTACATCTGAACAATGTAATGTCTTCAAGTGATGGTAAAGGTGGCCTATAAATCCATCACATGAAATTCATACTCTTTCATACGTCACACAAAGTATTGTGTGTCCAGAGTACATGCTGCAGAAGAGATTGTGCTGGAATAAAATTCTACAGTCTCTTTAAAAACTATGATAAAGTTTAAAGAGAGCACATACATTTCAATTGTACAATTTAACAGCTCAAGCTACACCACAATAATCCCAACTTTGTTTCTGCCATATAAACATCCGGACTGTGTTTGCCCCCCAACCACAGTACCCCATATAATTAGTAGTACTAGTTAGTGCAAGGGAATGGAATCTTAGTACTAATTAAGGAGAGGAAAAGGAAGTGGCAATGTGAAAAACCTTTAATCACAGGTCAGGTCATGTTCTGTAAAACAATGTCAGTCTCCATACGTAATACTTGCTGGTGCCTTCGAATTTGGCATTGGAAAAAAAAAATGCATGCCTTCTAAGTCGTGTGGGAAAAAAAAAACACTGGTATATTTAAAAGACTATTTTTGAAGAATTTCACTTGCTTAAATGAAGGTCCTTCATGCTGCTATCTTGGCTCTGAATAAAATAAGTCCTTCAGACTCCTCCAGACCAGGGAATGGCTGTGACTTGCAAGGAGTGAATCTGAATAGTTCACAGGATAAATGAGTCATATGATAGGGAATCTCCTTGTGTTCTGTTCTCCTTCTCACAGACTCAGAGAAAGGATGTTCCTTGCTCCTATAGCCAGGGAATACCACAGAGGTCCTCTCTCTCTTAGTTTTTTTTTTTTTTGCCCCCCCACCCCCACCTTTTTAGGTGCAAGAAACACAGAGAAGCAGGGGGTAGACAGTAGCCAGGGAGGAAGTTATGTTCTTAACCACAGAGGGAGATAGATGGTAGGAGAATAAAAAAACCCCCTAAAATCAGGCTTTTGCTACTGTAGAAACCATATCATTCCGAGTGCAAGGTCCTCAAATGGGTCATTGAGAGGCTTACAGAATTTTAGATTTGGAAGGAAACTTAGGCGGCCATCTGGGACAGGGACATCATTCTAAGACGAGGAAACTAGGATTTATGCCAAGTAACCTACACCAACTATTACTAAAGACAACTATCTTTAAGTTTCTTTTGTTAGTATCTTTTTGTTGTAATAACCCAGTTTTTGGTTTTCAGTTTTGTCATTTGGAGAATTCCTTTACGTTAGAAAATGTCATAGTTCTTCTTGAAGCCTAAGGGTTCAAAAAACACAACAGGACATTTCCAAGCCAACCGCATGCTAACAATGAGCGTCGCGAACCCAGTCACTCACCAGTCCCATTCTAGGTGTCTTCTAACCATCACTCAGTGTTAAAGAGTTAAGAAGGAAAAATTACCACATAATCATCATCTATAAAAATACTGGCCTAGAGTTACACTAAAAAACTCTTAATAAATAAATACTGGGCATTTGCTTTATGAAAGTCAGTGGAGATGTGCTCTTCAGAAATCACGTCCATACTTTCAGACTGCTTTTTACAAATCACACATACAGAGCCCAACAGATGACAAAGATTATAGATCAGGTTAGGATACAACAACTTGATAGAAAAACATCCTTCATTTGGCATTTCTACAAAGGAACACAACTAACATGGTTGAGTTGCTCGTGTTTCAGTTTTGAAGGCAATAAAGAGATCCAGAATGTTCTTTAGCCACGGCAGCATCACTGACATGGGTGTTTCACTCCTAAGGTAACCCCTTTTGCAAGGGATGACACTCATGAGGACCTATTGATTCTGGCATTTTCTCCTTACAGACCAACTGCACTGCTTGGGAGTCACGCCTCTGAGGCATCTGTACATGCTGCTTATTGAGTTTCCTCTCCCGATTCTGTCCCCCTTTTGTGTCTGCTGGCTCCGGAAGTTCAGTGCCCCGGCGTCTGATACCGTAGGTACTTGGGATTTTGGTCTGGCACCCTCATTGATCAGAACACAGGTTTATTCTCCGGAGACTTTAGAGCAAGTGATTCTGGTTTCCAGTCTGGTTGAAAAAAGTGAATGTTGAATGTCCGTGCCCAGTTCTTAAAGACACGTTTCTCCGTGATGAAGCGATGATGACTGCCCTTCCGTCCTCGCTCGTGCGAGAGGTACATTGTACATTCGTCAGGTCCAAACGGTTCATAATAGTGATAAGGTACTGAAGGGTGATTGGGATCCCTGTAGGAGGAAAACGAGATGACTGAGTAAAGGGGAAAAAAAATTCCTTTGGTTAAGCTGATGAGCACAACGCATATTTCCAAGTTAAAATGCAACAAAGGGTTTTTCTGATGTGTACACAAAAGCAAGTGGAAAGGTTTTGAGGTTGTGAAATAAATGCACTGAGCATCATTATCAAAGAGAGAGATTAAAAGTATACCACAGGACCTGCAGGTGTTTGGGATTTAGAAACTACCTATTACTAAGACCCCACTATAGTTCTTCTACTCTTGCCCTTATAGTCTATTCAGCATAAGCAGCTACAAAGGTATTTACAAAACAAAACCACACCACATCTCCCTCCCCACACCACTGCCCCCAATCCTCCAGAGGCTTCTAATTATAATGAAAGCATGCCTTATAGGGTGTTACATGAGTTGGTTCTTTCCAGAGCCTTTTCCTAACCCAGCCTTGCCCACTATGCTCCAGCCATACTGGCCTTTCTGGTCATCAACTCTGCCAAGCTTGACCTCCAGGTCTTGGCACGTGAAGGCAGTCACCTGGTTGTAATGCGCTCCTAACCAGTTCACTCCTTCTCACCGCTGGGTATTGACTTCTATGTGTCCTCTACAGAGAGGCTTTACCTGACGCCTGTCCTTTTGCTCTCTCTCTCTGTCAGGCTTATTTTCCTTACAGCATTAATCCCTCTCCAGAATTGCTGTAGTTTACTTGTTTATAATCTGTTCATGAGGGCAGGCCTTTGTCTTGTTCTTAGTAGGTACTCAATAAATAATTTTTGATTTTCTGTTGTTGAAAGAAATTTATATGGAGTTAGCAGCTAAACAGCAAACATCTAAAGACAATTTCTCCTCCAACATGGAAAGTTGATGATCCTAGTTTGATCCCACAGAACAAAGACAGCAAGCACAATGCCACCATTTTCTTCTTGTTGCTCTAGGTAGATGATGGACTCAAATCCAGAGTCTCTAAATCCAGAAATTCCAAATCCTCAAATCCTTGCATTATAGCCCGATAGTCCCAGCATTTTTTGTTTCTCTATCCCTATTTCACCTCAAATGAAAAACACTGGCTCATTTCTTCAAGGTAGTGTGCAAAGGATTAATGTGTTGAGGCGGTTAGGTGCCCTGTTGTAGGGTTACTAAAATATCTAACCCCCAAAGAGCCCTGGTCTCACACCGGTTTCCATTCTAGTCCAATCCACGCCACCTCTTCCATCTTGAAGTCTAGATGATAAAATTAGTTAAGGTATCCCAGCAGGTAAACCTTCCTGCTTGAGCTACACTCACCAACTGGTTTTGATGCAGAGCTTTAGTGCTTTTCTTAAAAGCCTCAGGCAAATCACCTTTCCATACCTGGTGCCCTGGGGTCCCCACTGCGGTCACTCGGGCTCTACTCTAAGTACAGTAACTTTGTTTCCCAGAGATGTTCATCCTGCTAGACACCTATTTGTTTTCTTCAGAGGAGATCAATACACAAATAGCTTCTAGAGTAGCAACTTTACTGAGGTCAGGGATCGAAGTCTTTTATCAAGAGGGGTGTCAAGTTTGTGGCTCTGACAACAATAAACCTTTTGAGCTGCCTCTCTTCTGAGGTTAAAGTTCTTCCAGGAAGAGAGATTTATTTTTGTCATGCAGCATTTAAACATTCCTCATCCTGAGTTGGATGCTATGCTGAATTAATACTTTGCATCTCTCTCATGCTTGTCTCAGAAGTATCTCTGTGTTCTACAGTGAAACATCAGATCCAATCCTGTCTAGTTAATATAGATTTCACTTCTTTGCTTACTCCAGAAATTGGAATCCCCTTAAAATTTTAATAGAGGGTATTTTCAATGCAGAAAATGCATTCCAGGAAGAATTCAAGTTGAAACTGACCACCATGAAGAAAAGAATAAACAAGATAGAAATTTATGAGACAAATGTCCCCAGGTTCATATGGCATAATTTGGGGAACTATGCCAAATTCACTGTGGCATGGTATACTTGGGGTTAAGCTTTTATTCCAATATCAATTAGGTTTTAAATCTGATTTATCTGCACTTTGAACATATTACTGGCATCAATCTGATGAAAGAAACAATTAAGCTTCTAAAAATATCATGAGATTGAGTTGGCACCTCGGAATACAGAGAAATTGGAAACCAGCTAAAGGATGCTAGAAGATCAATTTCTTTATTCAGGAAGACCATCTCTTGGAATAAAAATTTATCTGGCTCCCTATTGATCCCCCAGAGGGAGAATTACATTTACACATTTAATTGTTATGATTTCAAAAGGGTCCAAATAAGTGGGGTTGTTTCCACATTTTAAAACTCTGCCCAAATGGCCGAGGAGTGCTTTGTGGGCCTTGAGAAGGCAGAGCCAAAGCACCTGCAGGAAGAGGCTGCCATCCGCTGTAATCCACTGTTGCATTCAGGAAGCCCTTCCTAGTGCAAGGTCATAATTCCTTAGGTCTTTTCTCAAACCTGACTTCCTAAAGGCTGCCGTAGCTTTTTCTTCCTCCACCTGACCCAAGAGCGATAAATATCAGCAGAATTTCCACATCAGGAGGCTACCATTGTAAAGGAGGACTCTGGCCCCCAAGTTCCTGTTTGGGGGCCAGCAGAAGCTGAGGGAATGGAGGTATGGGGGCGGGGGGTGGCGGAGATCATCGAAGAGCCAGTTTCCCAAGGGGCTACAGCCGCAGCCTGTCATCAGCACTTCAAGGGCCACCTCGGAATAAATCCTGCCAAATGATGTGCCGAAGGATTTTGGTTTCTTTAGGGAGGAAGCAGAGTGGGGCGGTGGGAGTAGTGAAAGAAGGAACATTCGGTGCACACAGGGATCTTTAAAGAACTATCACGGCCTGTGTTCTACCTCCACAGATTTGGGTTTAATTGATTTGGGAGAGGCTCCCAGGCACGGCTATTTTTAAAAAAGCGACTTAGGTTTGAGTATCAAAATACATAATGGTAGTACTGGATTATGAAACCCATGAAATAAAAGAAATACCCGTAAGTCCATGAGGATTTCGATAAATAACTGAATCTATAAATAAATGAGGAAGAAGAAACGGCATTTCCTTACAGAAGAATTCCAATTAACAAATCCAGAGAGAATGAGGGAATAGAGAAATCACCACTAAAACAGCCTTGTAACTGTTGCAGGCCAGGTGTGCTGATGAATGAAACATTACCGGGAAAAAATATGAAGAGAAATAGGTTATTTGCATGAGGTATCTCTCCCAAGATATTTATTAATGACAAAAGGAAAAACAGTAACTTCGCAGTGAGTAAACCCAGCAGACACCACCTTAGCGAAGGGATCAAGGTTAACATTGCCAGTAATAAGACATTTGACATCATGTGTCGGTTGACGTGGGCTGCTGGGAAGGGCTTACTGCTTCTGTAGTACCCTCCCCAGGAATGCACAGCCTCAATCCGATCATGAGAAAACATCACACAAATCCAAAGTGAGGGATCTCCAGCGATAACGACGTTGTGAAAGAAGAGGCTGAAGGACAGTCACAGACGGGAGGGGACTGAGAGCCGGGATAAGTAAATGCAAAGGGATCCTGGCGTGGGTCCTGGAGGAGTTCCGGGACATCAGCCGGACAACTGGTGAAATCAGAATAAAGTCTGTCGTTTGGGTCAGAGTTTTGCACTGCTGCTAATTTCTTAGTTCTGATCATTGGACCATAATGATGCAAAATGCTACCATTAGGGGAAGCTGGGTGAAGGGTATACAGGAACTCTCTGTGCTATTTTTGCAACTTTTTCTGGGTAAGTTTAAAACTTTTTCAAAACAAGGGGCGCCTGGGTGGCTCGGTCTGTTGGGTGTCTGCCTTTGGCTCAGGTCGTGATCTCAGGGTCCTGGGATCGAGTCCTGCATTGGGCTCCCTGCTCTGTGGGGAGGCGTGCTTCTCCATCTGCCAGCCGCTCCCCCTCCTTGTGCTCTCTCTCTCTCTCACTCTCTGTCATATAAATAAATAAAATCTTAAAAAAAAAACTTTTTCAAAACAAAAAATTAAAAAAAACATGTTAATGTTGAAAAGCACCATAGGAGATTCTAACATGCAGCCAGGGTGAACACAGCTGATTCAGTGAAGTACTTGCTCAGCTCTGGTGCTTCACTTCCATGATCTGTTCCATGTCCCCATCAGGCAAGGGAGGGAGCACAAGGTCGGTGTCACTGCTCCATGTGAAGGCTGAGCAGCCAGCAGGCAGGTGGGGTCCGGCGCCTGGCTGTAAGCACACAGCCTCATCCATGGACCATCCCAGCCGCCGGTCTTTACTTGCCCTTCCAGCCCCAAACAGAGCGCTCAGCACTTGACATGACTGAATCCTCACAACACCCCTGGGCCAGAGGTAGCGTTCTGACCCCTAGTTTAGAGATGACAAAACTCATGCATAGAAAAATCGAAGAAGTTTCAGGGCTCAGATTTGGACCAAAGTGGAACTAAGAGTGAGGCTCTGTATCTTGGAAAAACTGCTCTACCAGGTGGGTTTTTGTACCATTGGCACCTCAGGTTCCTGTTGGAATGACTCTGTCCTCGCTGTGTTCTCCCGAGCACCTATGGATAGAAGCGCCCTGTGCTCGGTGGATACTGTGCAGCCAGTCGGCACGAGCAGCAGACGCCTTGTGCTCACTTACAATTCAACTAATATTAATGGTAATGGGAGTTTGTCATGTTCCATTTGTGACTCTCCTAAAGCTAAGCTGCACAACTGGAAGAAGCCTCATAATGTTAACAAGCATGGAAGACTCCATCCAATTCTGGGAATGATCTGGGTTGACCCTGATCCGTTAGTTGGGGCTGAACTCTCCACAAGGCTACAAAGGTCCCAGAAAGGGAATGGTGGCTTTGCTTCTCTCTAGAGCTCTCAGACCCTCTCTAAACATGCTTCTATTCTTGGCATGGTAGCCAGCCTCCAGTAGGTAGTCAGGAAACGCTTGACGAATAGAGCTGAGTTAACAGCTGTCAAGTGTCTAGGGTGTTCTGAAATTGGCTTGCACTGGGGC